TTTGTATTGCAACTCGAATTCGAACCCTACCAACTTGCGCACCCATTTCTGAAATTCCATCCCAATTTCCCTTTGTTGAGTTATGTACTTGAGGCTCTGTTGATCATTTCGGATCACGAATTTCCGACCCAAAAGGTAATGTTTCCACTTCTCCACCGCGAGACACACCGCCATGAGTTGTTTCTCAAAAATCGACTTCCCTTGACCCCGTGGACCGAGCACCTTACTAAAGAAAGCCACCGGCTTCCCCTCTTGCATTAACACCGCACCAAGGCCGTACCCCGAGGCATCTGACTCTACTACGAATTCCTTTGAGAAATCGGGCATTGTGAGCACTGGAGCAGAAATCATGGCTTGTTTTAATTTCTGTTAAAGGCCTTGCAATATGTGCATAGTTGTGAATAAACTTTCGGTAATACCCTGTTAGCCCTAAAAAACCTCTTAAATCCCTTAGAGATTTCGGTTTGGGCCAATTTACCATGGAGCCCACTTTCTCATGATCTACAGCAACTCCCTCACTAGAGATGATGTGGCCCAAGTAGGCCACTTTGGGCTTACCAAATTCGCATTTCTTTAAGTTGGCAAACAAAGAGTGTTTCTTAAGAGTTGCTAACACCAATTTCACATGCATAACATGGTCCTCCTCACTAGCACTATATATGAGTATATCATCAAAGAAAACAAGTACAAACTTACGTAAATAGGGACGAAATACCTCGTTCATTAGGGATTGAAAAGTGGCCGGAGCATTTGTAAGATCGAAAGGCATGACGAGGAATTCATAGAGCCCTTCGTGAGTCCGGAATGCGGTCTTATGTGTGTCTTCAGCCCGAACAAGAATTTGATGGTAGCCGGCTTTGAGGTCCAATTTAGAGAAGAGTTGTGCCCCATGGAGTTCATCCATAAGTTCATCAATCACGGGGATCGGATATTTATCCTGAACGGTCTCCTTATTCAAGGCCCGGTAGTCTACGCAAAACCTCCAAGATCCATCCTTCTTTTTAACGAGAAGTACCGGGCTTGAGAAAGGACTAGTAGAGGGTCTTATGATGCCTGCTTGTAGCATTTCTTTGATGAGTTTTTTGATCTCATCTTTTTGGAATTGCGGGTAACGATAGGGTCTAACACTAATCGGGTTACTACCCTCCTTAAGAATTATGGAGTGCTTGTGGCCCCTAGTCGGACGAAGCCCTTTTGGATTTTCAAATATCGTGGCATACTCTTCGATCACCCCTCTCAAAAATTCTAGAGGCCCAGTCTCTTTCGGCCCATCAAAAATTCTGGCTGTTTTGTTGCTTCTCAATTCGATTCAGCTCCACCAAAATACCACCTTCTTCCTTTCTCAAGGTCCTAATCATGGCCTTGAGTGTTACCCCCGGCCTTTGTTAAGCTCGGATCCCCCCTAATCACCACCGTGCGCCCGTTCAAGGAGAAGCTCATCTCCTGTATCTTCTAGTTAGTGAGAATGGTCCCTAGTTTCTCGAGCCACTGTATGCCCATGACCACGTCCGAGTTGCCCAATTTAAGAGGCAAGAAATCCTCCTCTATTTCGAAATTCCATCACCCAACTCCAAGTGCACCCCTTTACATTGTCCTCTTCCCTTGATATTTTCTCCGTTCCCCAACAAAACCCCAAACATTTGAGTTCCGACAATGGGTAGGCCGAGCTTCTCCACCGTCGACGTGGAGATGAAGTTGTGGGTGGCTCCCGGGTCAATCATGACCACCACCGGTTGCTTTTTGATAAACCCAGTTAATTTCATTGTTTTGGGATTGGAAAGCCCAACAATCGAATTCATCGAAGCGGTGGTCAGAATTTCCTCCTCTTCTTGCTCCTCGAGGTTTTCCAAGGCTTGCAACTCTCCCTCCTCCTCGCAATCATCCTCATCCACAAGCAATACGCTCAACCCCGCACTGATGAGTGTTGTGGTGTTGGACTGGTTACTTTGTGGGTTGGGTCGAACTGGGTTGTAAGAAGCTGTGTTTGTGGTTGTCTTTTGGGCCGGCCCAGTACCCAAAAGAGTGGCTGCTGGGCTACAATTAAAGAAAGAATAGGGTCCGGGCTTAGAGAACGCCCCACCCGTTTTCCTAAGACTGTTGACTCGATTCCTTTCCTCAACCCGGATCGTAAGATCCATTGCATCTTCTAGGGTCAATGGGTTCAACATTCGGATCTCGACTCGGATCTCCTCCTTTAAGCCGTTAATGATCTGGCCTTTCATTATACTTTCCGGCACATCCATCAACGGAGAGGCCTTTTCTATAAACAACCTCCTATACTCCACCACCGTAGTCAGGTGCTCCACCGCCATTTCGTGGAGAGACCCCGAATTTACTGGCCGGAACTGATCCAAGATGCGCCCTTTCAAATCTTCCCAACCGACCACGGGCCGCCGTCTGCTCTCCCATTGGTACCAAAGGAGCGCATCTCCATCCATAGCTACCACCGCGGCTTGTAGCTTCTCTATTTCCGACAGCCGATAGAACTGAAAAAATTGTTCTCTCCGGAGAATCCAACCATCGGGGTCGGAGCCGTTGAGTGTCGGCATTTCAAGCTTTCTAAAACGCCAATTCATGTTCCCTCCGCGGCCGTCGTGGTTAATATTTCGAATTCCTCCGCCGTTCCCGAGCTCCCAGTTGTCGAACCTCAGGCCACCGTTGTCTAGTGGCGTTTCATTGAAGTTCCCCCCACCGAGCGACTGATTCCCGTCCTGGTTTTGCAACGTTGTCATCAGGGTTCGCATCTCCTCGAAGAATATGTCCTGGTCCCTCTTCAGCGTTCTCTGTATCGAGTTTTCTCCATCTCCGACCTTCTCAAGGATTTCTTCCACGCGCTCTTCCAGCGCCGCCACCCTCTCCGGTGTCACCGTCAGTGGTGTCGGAGGCATGTCTGCTGTGATACCAAATGCAACGGACTAGCGTAATGTAACAATTATAAAGCCGAAAGGTTGATGTTTGATTACTAAGCTCAAAGCTTTCAAAAGATAAACATGGCTTTAGGCCATTACTCTCCAAGTGTTTGCATACAATTTTCTGAATGAGTCCTTACTAGGCTACTACTTCTTATACTACAATTACATTACTAGAATTGGCAACATAGCCTTAATTACTACAATTGCTACTCTTGTCCTCATACTATTTTAGTGCAATGCAAACAAAAACTAAAAGCTGCTTGTCTCCCATGTTGCCCCCTCAACGGTCCTCTGTCTTTCTTTTGTGCTGTTGCTAAGGCTTGCTGTTGTTGAGGGAAGGTGGCGGTCTCTTCTGTCTCCTACTGTACACCAAGTTCACGGGTGGAGGGTGTTGGTGTATTGCATAGTGTAATTATAAATTATAAATAATCTGTTATCTTGTAACAGAACTCATTCATTGATTTTCAGCAATAAAAATCATCTTTCTCTCTCTTTCTTTTATCTTTTTTTCTCTCATCTGTTAAGCCAGGTATTGTTCTTCACTGATCAATAGATTTCTGCCATTGAATTGCTGGGTTTCTTAGGAAATTGTAGTAAGAATCCAGTATACTCCTTGTATACTGTTACATTTAGCTACAGTGCCAATCTTAAAATTGACCACCGTCTTTTGGTATTTCATATTTTGTCACACTCTGACAAGGCATTATGTAACCGGGTTTTTTGAAACATCAAATCAATAATACAGTAAAAAAATGGAGTGTGACAGCCAAATTTTCATTCCAATGTTATTAGTGTTGTTTCTAAACTAGATTATATAGAAATAAAAACTGCTTAATTTTGAAATGCAGTACACAACAACAAATCAACTACTTGAGTCAAATAACAAATAAAGCTAAAACTCGAGGAAGCATAACCTGATAACATAGTTGACTCACTAACTATAACACAAAAATCGATGGGATCTTAAGAACCACTAATTCCAAACAATCTTTGCCACTTTCATTGCTTTTTGAATAACTAACTAAAAAACATATGCTCCTAAGTCCTAAATACAAGGAACTGTTTTGAATTAATTGTCCAACATATTCCTTACGTTTTAAGAGTATATGTTTATCAAACATACGAAAGTGGTAGAGAATTATTAGTTGAAGTTAGTAGGCTTTAGGAACCTTTTGTTTGTTATGTCATAGTAAGAGGAAAGTATATGCTATTTACTGATTCAGTTCATAGGATTAATGCTTCCCTAATCTTTAGCTTTATTTGTTTTCTGACTTAACATTAATTGTTTGTTGATGTGTATTTTTATCGGGAATAACTCAATTGCTTTTTTTCATTCAATTTTCTTTGTCAAATTTGAGTGTGAAAGTGTCTTAGAGGAGAAAAATAAATGAAACAAGAACATATTTTGTCTTCCCCTTAGTTTTCTTTTTGCCAAAGGACACTATATTGTTATCCATACCCTCTTCTTAATTGGGTAATCAGACTTTATCAAGTGGATAAAAATGCCGACAAAAAAAGAAAAAAGGATAGGCAAGGGATAATCATATAGGAAAAGTTGATTAATAAGCATCTCCATTGCATTATGTCCTTTTCTAAAACTATGACTTGCATATCCTTTGGGGTAGCTCTTCTAGAATTTAGAGCCAAGTAACAACCTCCTCTTACAAAAAAAAAATATACTATTTGGGGAGAGTTATAGAGATCACAGATTAATTTTGAAAGAAAGGAAAATATTTATGTTACAAAAGACCTCCAAGGCCTTACATCAAAACATTCTACAATAGAGAGGTGATGAAGGAATGTAAGTTCATATAAGAACAAGTCTAACAACCTTGCCTCATGTGGAGTTCAACTTTGGAGAACATAACACTTTAAACTTCATGTATTTCACATCCATTTGCAACCATAGGTTTTAGTTTCAAAAAGCAGTATGGAATTCGAAAAATTAATTCAAAGAACCATCACAAAGTCCAAGTTATCTAGGACAAATACAAATATTAAGGTTCACTAAATTAATAAGGCATATAAAAGTTTGATATAAAACAAAATATAGATATAAAATAAAATAAAAGGAATAAAACTGATTACCTGGAAATCACTAAATGATTCGAGAATTTCAGAGCTATGAAAATATTCATTCGGTGAGCTTAGTTGATGAGATAGCTTGTTTATTTTAGAGCTTGTTAAGCCTTCAGCTAAGTTGGAAGTAAACTGCTCTAAAGGCCTTAAGCACGCTGCAACCACTCTCTTATATGTCTCACCAGTTTCCTCAAAGAAGGCAGCTCGACGCCAGGGTTCAATATTGCTTCCACACACCATGTATAAATCAAGGTATGCAAGATACTGCAGCAGAGATCTAGGTTGACTGTCCTCCAAAGCAGCAAGAAGAGATTCACTGGGATTTGTTTCCACTGCAGCAGATCCTTTTGATGGAGCAAACACAAATCTCTTGGTATGCAGAACCTATGTAAAAATAAGATTAAACAATGGTGAGAATTTGGAGTCTAGCCTTCTAGAACATACAATTTTCACAGTCAACCTAAAAAGAACATAAAAGTCACAAAATTCAACCTACATACATAAGGATATGCAAGTATAACTCAAATACATTATAAGTATCAGCTCTAAGCTACATGGATTGTAAAGGGTTGTTTATCAGCTCTATGAAAATCCATGGACATCAAATTCATATTTATGCCTGAATTAGATGCAAGCTACAACGGAACAGTAGTAAGATTCTTACAATCTTGTAACATTCACCATGTAGATTACATCCTACTAAAACAAACAGGTCCCTCAACCACATTGACATTCCCAGCAAGAAAAGAAGCCCTTAATACATATCTCCCCACTACCCCATTCCAGAAGAATTTAAAAAATAGGGGGGGTGAATATATGAGGGAAAACAGATGAGACAAGGTTGTTAGGATCATGACTCCCTAATAGAAATCTCCAAGATTTCCTTGCTACCCACTTATCACACATTTGCTAATATATTACTTCTTGCCTCATGGGCTCAATTCCACGCAACTTGCCATATCCCAACAAAAGCAAATAACTCATGCTACGAAGACTAAACACTTTACTTCCAAGTGTTAAGCATGCTAAGCAATCCACGGGATCAACCATTACACATTCATGGGCCCTGAAACCAAAATCTAGGATTGTGATTCCCTAATTATGTTAATAGCAAGCAATAAAAATGAAGAAATAATCGCAAGAAACAACAATATAGTCACACACAAAGATTGTACGTGGAAAACCAAGAACCAGAAGAAAAACCACAAAATTGCTCCCATGAATCACACATTACCTATAATATTGTGATTTGTGTCATGGGCTCAATTCAATGCCACTTGTCAAATCCCAAAGAAAGCAAATAACTCCATGCAAATTGAATATAGCACACACAACCTCACGCCATAGGCCCAACCTTGTAGCTCATCCAAGATTCACACAATAGGTTCCACAATCCTAACACTTAGATATAAGACTACCAAGTCAGGCCACTCGGACACTTGAGATGACGAACAATTCAATGATTAGTACCTCTATTTATTTAGTACACAAGTCAAATAAGTAAATGCTGTGAACTTATGACTTCTTATAGAGAGCTATCAATTTACTAAACCCTCCCCCCCCAACACACACACACACACACACATCACTGAGAAACTTCTCTCTTTTACTTGTTTCATAATAATTTCACACTTCATTATGATATAGTAATTTGGATATCCCCACCATTAGTAAAAAGTTTTTAACTCACCAACCCACCTACTTTTCCACCATCACATGTTTACTTTTCTCACAATATAAAGTGCACCCATTAACTTCAATATACATTAAACAACTGATTTAATGGTTCATACTCAATATTTTCTTAAACTATACCAATTGGTTGTTAGTAGTGATTGGGACTACACTTGGTAGAGAGGACACGTGTTCGATTCCCCGCAACAACAATTGGGAGGGGACTGGAACCTAACCACCCAGAACTGATTACGAATTCGGATTAGCCCAATGGGTGAATTGGGTGTTCCGATTAGCCCAATGGGTGAATTGGGTGGAACACCCAAAAAAAATTAACTGTGTGCCCAAACACATAGGTCAATTTTACCAAAACACAGAGGAAGTAGGATAAAACACTCTAGAACTTCACATGGTATGTGAAAGAATGTAAAATAACACACACAAAAACAAAAAAAAAACAAACAAACAACAAAAAAAAAAAAAAAAGGGAGGGAATGGGATGAAACCAAGACCATCCTCACCACTTATTGACATGTTTAATCTTGAGATGATGTTGGATACATGCTTTAAACTAAGAAAGACAAAGTTAGGCATAAGATGCATATTAACAAAAGCAACTACCAAACCACATTAGGGAAAATGTTGCAATTATTGCAAATGTCTTTTAGCCTGATTTTTCCATTTTTTTTTTGGCTTTCTTTTCAACAAATATAGTTGGCAGACAATTTTTCCATTGACTAAAAATGAAACTGATTGAATTTATGTGTTGCCTTTTTGGCCATTGACCTATTCAGATTAAACTGCCGCTTTGCCAAGAGCTAACCATATATTGTATTAATGTCTTAGAGCTAATCACCACACAACTTTTAAACAACTAATGCTACAAGTTGTCTAGAACAGTCAACAAAATAACAAACATTACTGGTAGATCAACTGGTTGACCAACTGAGTAACAAGGTCTTAATATTAGTGATGAGATCACAAACAAGTCAAATTTAAGCAGAAAATTTCATATTTTATTAAATGAGTCAAGAAAAGTCAAATAGATTCTAAGATGTTTCCATGGTTGTATGAAGATAAACACACAGGGAAAAAATGGAACACAGCAGAACAGTATGTCAGATTAAATCATTAAGTATATTCAATAGTTAAGTTAACACATTCATCATATACATAGCAATAATATCGAATAAACATGATTCAAATCGCAAACAAACCTTATGCAAATAAAGTATCAGTTCCCAGGAGAGAAAAACTGCAAAGTTTCCTACGTAAAAGATAAATTGCTCTGAGAAATATTGTCCTGCAACCGAACTTCTGTGCTGATCAGGCAAGAGGAGAACAAACAATGCTGAAAACATGTAGGATGCAACTGAAAGCTTCAGAGCTTGTCTAACAGCTGAAAGAAGCCCCATCTTATAGCTAAAGAAAGGTGAGCGCTGTCAAAAAAAAAACAAAATTAAGATTACTTCAAATAAACCATAAATTTGATAGTAACTTCTGAAAACACATTCTTATAATTAAAATGACACTGTCACAAAATAAGAGTTTAATTCATAATATACAGTATAGAATTAAGGCCTTGTTTAGTTCTCCTTATTTTTACTTATTTTAGAAAAATTAAGTTCAGATGAGAAAAAAAAATAAGTTCAGATGGGATTAGAAAAAATAAGTTTAGATGAGATCATCGTTTTATGTGCATTTTTTTATCGCTAAATATCTTTAATTTCGTGATTTTAAAAATTATGAAAATTACATATTATTAATAAAATACAGATTATTACGAATCTAATAAGATACCACTTGATATAGTTTTACATTACAGATTATCATACACTTAAGGTCAAAGATTATTTAAATCAGACAATACGATCATATCAGACCAGATAATCACGTGAACTAAACAGCGCCTAAGTCCTTGGAAACCCATTCAGTTAATGACACTGACATAAATTAGCCGTAAAGAGGTCTCACTAGATAATGCTTAGCAAACTCTATAGCCATATTGATTGATTTACACTCCATAACAGCTCTTCTAATAGGTTCTCTACCCAACCAAATTTCATACAAATCAGCTGTACAGTGGTTGCTCACATTTAACATCCACAATTACTTAGAAATACATGCGAAGTGAAATTTTTTTTATCAAATGTTAAAATCAAGCTAACCCCCCCCCTTTCCCCTTGATTTCATAAAACCAGATAATGGTTAAGGACTTCGACTTCCGGCTCTCTCGCTCACCCTCTACTCTACTCATGCCGGAAAAAGATAGCCGCTGACAGATAAATGAGTAAATTCAACGAATACTAACTCGTCATTATTTCCTATTCAACTCCATGTCTATATCAAGCTCTAAGAGTGCCAAAACTTACCATATAACTCGACAACCTCATCCAAGTTCTTCTTGGGCATACCTCTTCTTCCCTAATAGTACAAAGATTTTCTTACCCAAAACAAGAATCCCATATAACATCTAAAAACCTCCTCAATTCCTCATTATGCAGTCAAACCATCTAAGTCCTGCTTAAGCTGGAAAACAATTCTTGGCAGATTATCTCATCCAATTCTTCTTGGAGATACATCTTCTTCTCACATATCAAGTATCCCATATGACATTTAATGCCACGACATTGTGTTCGATCCCCCGCAACAACAATTGGGAGGGGACTGCCAGAATTGATCCCCGAATCCGGATTAGCCCGAAAGGTGAACCGGGTAAAACACCAAAAAAAAAAAAAAAAAAAAATTACATGATCAATCCATCAAAATTTCAGCTTCTCAAATTTTAACATCAATACGAACCTACGAGTCATTCTCCCACTATTAACTCTTTCTAAGATCACCCCTCAATCCATCCCATCTAAGTATAATTACACATCTAACAAAATATCTTGATCTCATCAGAAACTACTAGCATAAAAAATAGATAAATAAACAAATAATTAATAAAAAATTCAAAGCGAAACATAAGTCACCTGAACAATAGGGAAATCCAACACCCAACGCTGACAAAATACACAATAAAACCCATAAAATAAACCAACACAAAGACTCCGAAGCCCCAAAGTACTAATCAACCCACCAAATGAACAAGAAAAGCTACTCCCAACAATCGAAACCACCGCGCAAAAACCAGAAAGGGCCGAAACGCAAACAAGAACAACAGCAGTCAGTGAAGCCCGAGCTCGTCGGACAAAATCCTTGTTTAAGGAAGACAGACCACCGAAAACAAATCGGACAACACCAAGAGCAAGCTCTGGAAGAGAAGCATGGAGGCGGAACTGCGGGGAAGAGTTAAGTTGGACGGAAATGGAGAAGAGTAGCATTGAAAGGAGGAAGCAGAGAAGAGAGAGACAGCCGAAGAAGGAGGGGAAGAAGGGTTTTGGGGTGAAAGGAGAGAGAAGAAAAGCTTTGGTGAGTATGAAAATGGCGGATGATTGAATGGACTGCCATATTAAGAATGAAAGGAAGCGATTTTTTCCGATGTCTGATGGTGGCGCCATGGTCAGTGGTGGTGGTGGTGGTGGTGGTGTTAGTTGTTGTTTTTGAATTCTGTTTTAAAGACCTAAAGTTCACCTTGATAGGGTTTTACAGGCAGAGGGTTTTACACGCTTATAGAAGAATTTTGCCGAGACTAAGGCCTCGTTTCTCCAATTAGTATTAGGGACTACGGCAGTACTATTCTTCTCCAACATACTAAATGAAATAAGAAATCTTTAAAACAAAATAACATAAAAAGCGTATATAAATCAATATAAATCTAAAATAAGCAAAATTTCAAATTCATTTCTCTCTTCACTTTCTCTCTCCCCACCTTTTCTCTCTCTAATTTCCCAACCCACCATTTTAGCATCATCAAATCTTTCATTCTTCTCAACAGAAACCAAAAAATTTCTTTTGATTATTATTTTAACCACTCAAACAAGCACAAAATTGCTCAATCAAAGCTGAAAATCAATTTCACTACATAAAAAATGGTTTATAGTTATGAAAAATATAAAGAAACGACAATTATGAACAAGAATGAGCAAAATAAAGTAAGTATATTTAATTTGTTTTGTTTTTAGTTTAATTAATTGAAAATGATACTGCTAATTTGAACTAAATATGTTAATTTGATTTGATTCAATCGAATCGTTATTTTTGAATTTGCCAAAATGTTGTGTTATTTTAAGAAAACTGTATGTTATTTTACTAATTAAATACTATGTAGTTCTACTAAAACATTATGTTATTTTACGCAAATCTTGTGTTGTTGTTTGCTAAAATAACCTTATGTTACTTTGCTAAAACATTATGTTACTTTACGTAAACCATGTGTTATTTTGATAAATTCTAGTGTTATTTTGTGGAAACCTCAGCCCGTGTTATTTTACTATAAAGTTATGTTATTTCACACGAACCTTGTATTATTTCAGTGAAATCATTTATTATTTTGCTAACAGATTATTGTGTTATCTTACTTGAACTTTTTGTTATTTTGCTTCAACTTTTTGTTATTTTCAAATGTAAGTTATTTTTACAGAACAATACGTTAATATCCCTCTCCGAAAAAATTCGCTCACTTTATTTTTTTACGTAAAATTTCTTCTAAAAACTCTCATAAATTTGTTCGATTCTTTTTCTCTTCTTTAAATAAAATCATCTTCATTCAAATTGTTGTTCAAATTTTATCAGATTCTCACAAATATAAAACACTTAATTGATTTTAGGGTTTTAATTTTTCTATTTTTTGAAACAAAGGGTTTTAATTTTTCTAATTTTGGTAATTTGAGCAATTAGCTCTTCAATTCAACAAAATTTCTTAATAATAGAGTGATTATTTGAAATTTTTTGAAAAATAAAGTAAGACAAAGGGAAGAGCAGAAGAAAAAAATAGAAGAAGGATTTTTTTTTTAATCCAAAAGCTAGTATTTGACCCCCTAGAGTACCATGCTCATGGTACTCCAGGAGTACTATAGAAATTGTGTCGTTTCTCTACTCTGCTCAAATCTAATCTAATATGCTCTACTTTATTTTCAAATAATAATTAATAATAATAATTAATACTGTATTTTTGAAAAACAATAATTAATATTGTATTGATGATGATAATTTATTATTTTGAATAATTATAATTATTAATATTAAAAATAATTATAATAATTATTAATATTATAATAATTAATATTTATTAATCATATAATAATTATCAATAATAATATTTACTAATTCAAACTATTAAGAATTAATATTTAATAAAATTATTAATTAATAATTTCTAATAATTATAACAATTCTTTCAAAAGAATAAATAATATTTTTTTGAAAGACAATAAAATAAATAATATTAATAACAATTTCTTTTATAAACATTTGATATTAGAATCACAATGTGTAGAAATATTTTATGTGGGTATTGATTGTTAGTTCATTGAGTTGAATTATTTTTTAAATCTTTCCATACAATTTAAGAATTAAAAAAAAGAGGTTGTTTTCAAGTAGTATTTGTTTATCATTATTATTTTGAGGGGTTAAAAATATATGATTAAGAAAAGATTATAAGTAAAATCATTATTACTCATTAAATCAGTTTATTTTAAAAATTTTGTGAAATAAATATAAGTAACTTGTTCTCTTCAATTTTTTTCAGATACTTATTATTTATTCCTTAGTAAATTCAGATCAGATCAGAAAGATTCAGGTCAGACCAGATCAGAACTTTTGATTATCAATTACTTATTGCTAAATATCGTTAATTTCGTATTAAATTTTTTTTATACAAATTACATATTTAAAAAGTTCATAATGAGACGAATCTAACAAGTTCCATTTTGATGATATTTTTCTTTATAGATTAGTATTAAAATGCGGTCAAAGTTTAGTCAAATTGTTAAATCAGATCATACCAGACCAGATCCAAAACATTCAGACCAAACCTTAAAAATTCAGACCATATCTACTTATTTCAGGTGAAGAGAACAAGTCCTAAACCGTTGTCTATAATAATAATAATAATAATAATAATAATAATAATAATAATAATAATAATAATAATAATAATAATAATAACAATAATAATAATAACAATAATAATAATAATAATAATAATAATATACCTATTGATCAATTTCATCTTATTGTTACTTCTGTTGTTGTTTTGGATCAGATTAACAGTTTTCCGCGTGGTACTTCATGTGGTAGGGACAGTTTACATGCTCTACACCTTATGGATTGCTTGAGTGGTGTGATGTGGCTGTCTCAGATGAGTTGGTTGCCTCTATTTCCAGGGTGGTTAATCTCTTTTTTGCTGGCAGATGTCCTTTGGAACTAGGAGAGTATATTGCTAGTGCTCCTATCACACCACTTATTAAGCCCGGTGGTGGTATACGTCCTATAGCTGTGGCAACTGTTTGGCGTCGTTTAGTTTCGAAGATCGGTGTTGTTATGGTTGGCCAGTCTTTGGGCGAATACTTTGATGGTCTTCAATTTGGTGTTGGGGTTTCTTCAGGGGGGTGAGGCTATTCTTCATGCTGTGAATCGGTTGATTGAGGATCGTGGTTATGACGTTGGTCTTTATACGTTGTTGGTGGATTTTCGAAATGCCTTTGATCTAGTTGATCGTGCGATCATGTTACGTGAAGTCCGTCGTCGTTGTCCAGGTATTTCACGGTGGGTTGAATTCTGCTACTCTAATCCAGCCAGATTGTATTATGGGGACCATACCTTATGGTTGTCTCAGGGGGTGCAGCAGGGTGATCCCCTTGGTCCTCTTCTTTTTTTCTTTGATTTTACAACCTCTTGTGTGTAAAATTAAAAATGCTTTTGAGGTATGTATTCAGGCATGGTATTTGGAAGACGACACTATTATTGGAGACACTTTGGTGGTAGGGAAGGTTCTACAGTTTATTATGGAGGAAGGACCTCGTTTTGGGTTGCATCTCAATGTGGAAAAAACTGAAGTTTTCTGGCCTACAGAAGACCCTCGAAGCAGGCTTGTGGGTGTTTTTCCCCCTTCTATTGCTCGACCATTGCATGGTGTTAAGTTGCTTGGTGGTCCCGTTAGTTCTGATTCCAGGTTTAGTGGCGAGCTTGTGATGCAGAGGGTGACCAAGACCATTGCGCTTATGGATAAGGTTGCTACGCTGGATGATCCTCAGTGTGAGCTGTTGTTACTTAGGGCATGTACTAGAGTTTCTAAACTCTACTTTGCCTTGCGTACTTGTCCTCCAGGTGCTTTCGAGGCGGCTCAACGCGTTTTTTACGAGGCTCTTTAATCTTCCTTGGAGCGTATTGTTACTGCATCGGGGCTCGGGTTTGGTGATTGGCAGTGGCGACTTGCCACCTTACCATTTTCGTTTGGAGGGCTTGGTGTTTATTCCGCAAGTGATATTCTTCATTATGCTTTTCTTGCTTCTCGGTTGCAGTCTACTGGGTTGCAGACGCAACTTCTGCGTCGTACTAGTATTATTGCTCTTGGTCAGGCTTTTGAGGATGCGTTGAGTCTGTTTCTGCAACAGTTGAGTCTGACATTTTAGGTAATCCTTGTGAGGTCGCTGCCCCGAAACTCGTGAAGAAATTGGCAGATATATATTTCACAAAGATTACCGCTTTTGCAGAATCCACCTTTTCTTTGTCTCCTCGACAGTCGGCATTGTGGAAGCCACATCAGGGTGATCACACCTCTATTTGGCTTCGAGCAGTCCCTAATTATGGATTGGGTCAGATGATGAACGCTAAGACATACCGATGTGTGTTGTGTTATCAGATGGGTGTTCCATTATTCTATGTCTCGACACCATGTTCTGCTTGCTCTTGGGTTTTTACGGGGGATGTATTCGGCGACCATGCGGTGTCATGTGTTGGTATTGTAGGTATTAAACATTGGCACAATGTTGTTCGGGATACTTTTGTTGATATTTGCTACAGATCTGGGATTTCAGCAAGAAAGGAGGTTGACATAGGATTGTCTAGAGGGAATGATAGGGCCCTTAGACCTGCCGATGTGTTACTTTATTCATGGGATCGTGGTCGTGATGTATGTTTCAACTTCACAGAGTCTTCTCCTTTGACACAAACAGGGCTATCTGATTTTGTTCCGGGACGGGTTGTGGCTGATGCGGCTCATCGGAAGCGGGTTAAGTATGAAGCTTGTTGTCTGGCGATTGGATATGGTTTCATTCCCTTCCTCTTTTCTTCGCTTGGGGAATTAGAGAAGGAGGCTATTGTGTTGCTGAAGCGGAGTCAGAGGTTCTCGACAACGCAAGACATTGGTGCTCGTGCTGCAGCTCATATATTCACTAGGGTAGGCTTTGCTATAGCTAGAGGAGTGGGGGCCCAGATTGTATCCCGGATTCCCACCAATTTATTGTAGGCTGTATGACTTTTGTTTTTTAGATATAATAATAATTAATAATTTATTGTGTGGTGAGCTTGTGATGCAGAGGGTGACCAAGACCATTGCCCTTATGGATAAGGTCGCTATGCTCGATGATCCTCAGTGTGAGATGTTGTTACTTAGGGCATGTACTGGAGTTTCTAAACTCTACTTTGCATTGCGTACTTGTCCTCCTAGTACTTTTGAGGTGGCTCAGCGCACTTTTGATGCAGCTCTTCGATCTTCCATGGAGCGTATTGTTACTGCTTCGGGGCCTGGGTTTGGTGATTGGCAGTGGCGACTTGTCACCTTACCATTTGCGTTTGGAGGGCTTGGTGTTTATTCTGCAGGTGATGTTCGTCACTATGCTTTTCTTGCTTCTCGGTTACAGTCTGCTGGATTGCAGACACAACTTCTTCGGCATGCTGGCATTGTTGGTCTTGGACGAGCCTTTGAGGATGCGTTGAGTCTGTTTAATGGAACAGTGGATTCTGACATTTTGAGTAATCCTAGTGAGGTCGCT